AACAAGATCTGTCTTGGGTTTTGAAAAGCTCACTCTGGCTCGTGAGAGAATATACCTTACTGGGTCTAGGGTGGAAGTGGGGAAGCCTGTTAGGAGGCTGTTGCAATTATCTAGGTAAAAGGTGAAGGTAACTTGGACCAGGGAGGTGATAGGAGAGTTGAGACAAGTGGTCATGGTGAATATATTTTGAAGGTGGAGGCACACGGTTAGCTGTTGGAGTAGATGTGGGGTGTGGAGAAAGAGGAGTCTTAAGATGACTTTTAGGATTTTTTTCTTCTGAAGGGGTGGAGATTTATTGAGATGAGCGTGACTCTGAGGAGGAAGTTAGGGGAGAAGTAGTCAGGAGTTTAGTTTTGGATGTGTTGAGCTTGAGATACCTATTTGACCAGTGTTGAGTGGGCAGTTGGGTATATGAGTTTGGAATTCAGGGGAAGGATCTGTGCTAAACATTGGGAATTGCCAGGGTGTAGATCTTTGTATAGCCATGAGACTGTGTGAGATCATCTAAGGGGAAGAGTTCTAAGAAATGAGTCCTGGGACACTTTCACATTTTGAGGTGTTGGAGGTAAGGAGGAATCAGCAAAAGAAACCAGGGAGAGTAGCCAGAGAGATGAGGAAGAAAATCAAGAGAGGATGGTCTCCTGGAAATCAAGAGAAAAAAAATTTCAAGGAGGAAGAAATGATCAGTGGGTCAAAAAATACTGGTCAAAGAAGTGAAGACTGTCTTCTATTGCATTAAACAACTTCTAAATCTCTGGTGATCTTGACAAGAATGAAGGGAGGCAAACGGCCTAATGGGTTGTGTTCAATAGAGAATAGGAGGAGAGGAATTAGAGACAGGGAGTATGATTAACTCTTTCTGGGAGTTTTGCTATATATATTAATCTAGACAGGGATAATAACTAGAGAAGGATATGGAGTCAAGGGAGGTTTTTAAAATTTTTGTTTTAAATTATTATTATTTAAGATAGAAGGAACAAAATGATCCAGTAGTGATGCGGGGAAAATTGGTGCTCCATGAGAGTAAAGGGAGAATCTAGAGGGATGTCCAGGAGAGGGTAAGAGAGGTGGGGACAAGAGGGATGGTTATTAAGATGTTGGGGCCCCAAAGACTAAACTCATCAAGTGGGATTCTGCTTTTTTTTCTAACCATTTATCTGCATTTAAATTTATTTCAAACTTACTTGCTTTCTGTTGGAAGTTAGGAAGGGCAGATAAAAAGCACTAAAACTGTGGTATATAAAGCTCAGTTTTGGGGCCTCTTACAGCAGGGGAAGAGAAGAGATTCAATCTTCTGGGTAAGGTGACATTTTAAAGTGTCTTTGAAAGACAATTATCTGTGCTATTCTAGTCCCTTATCAAAATTTATGATTGAGCACAGGCTATAAACTTAATCATTTGAAATTTGTAGTAGGGTGAATTAAATTTTAGCCTAATTTAAAACATTATCTAGTATTAAACTTTTTCTCTGCAGATTTTGTTTGTTTAATTTAGATTCGTCATATACAAGGGTTTCAGATATTTTACAAAAGGTGCTTAAATATTAATCGCATTAGATTTATTTATAATATTTAAAATATTATAACCATATCAGAAATCTAGATGATTTGTTTCTTTACCAGCTCTAATTAGAGCAGTTACCTGTGAAGTTCTAGAGAGGTGAACAATCTTCTGTTTGTGAAAAATTGTATGACTTTATATTAGCAAGACAATATAACACCTCTAAAAGCCAAAATAATTTCATTTACTCTAACTTAGGTGTTTTGGATATATTTTTCAAGAAAAAATTTATCTTTTAAAAATTTCAGCAAATATGGTTAAAGTTTTGAACTACCTTAGTTAGAAGTGTGAAATGTATGTGAGAAACAAACTAAGTGGCTTTTAACCAGCTTAACATGAAGAACTCAAACTTGCTTTCAGACTTAAATTTGGTTTACATATGGATAGTGTAAAAAGCACAAATGTGTGTATAGATCTAGCTTTTTGCTGCTCAATCTTCTTAAATTATAGAAATAAAATATTTACTTTTCTTTTTTTTTTCAATTTCCAAATGGTAGTCAATTAATATTCAATCTTCAGAAGAAACACTTTGGGATTTCTGATGTGCACAGTATTTAAGAATCATTAGTCTAAAAATAATTTCTTCTTTTTGGGTATGTGAACCTCATTGTGAAACCAATTAAAGCTGTGGACCCTCTTCCAAGAAAATTGTACCTATGCTGATATGTATAGAATTTAGCATATAGTATGAAGGAGTTGACCCCTCTGAAGCACATTCATGGGATCCCTTAGGTTTAAAAGATTTCGTATTTTGTTTTGTTTTTGTTTGTTTTGTTTTTGAGACAGAGACTCGCTCTGTCGCCAGGCTGGAGTGCAGTGGCACAATCTCAGCTCATTGCAGTGTCCCTCTCCTGGGTTCAAGCGATTCTCCTGCCTCAGCCTCCCAGGTAGCTGGGATTGCAGACATGCGCACCACACCCAGCTAAATTTTTTTTTGTATTTTTAGCAGAGGTGGGGTTTCACTATGTTGGCCAGGATGATCTCGATCTCCTGACCTTGTGATCTGCCTGGCTTGGCCTTTCAAAGTGCTGGGATTACAGGCTTGAGCCACCATGCCTGGCCAGGATTTTGTGTTTTAAGACTTTTCCTAGATGGCTTACTTATGCGATTCTTTAAAACTTTATATACAAACTTTTCCAAAAATATTTCGCTAGTGTTTGTTGTAGTTTGTTTTTTAGAAGAGTAACTGCTGCAGTGGGTTAAGAGAAAGTTAGGTCTAGTGGAAAATGAGCTCAGTTAAAGGAATCTTGGGCCAGTAAGCTCTTCTTCAGCTTCACGACCAGCTTGCTGAGTGACCTTTGGGGAAATCACTTAACTTCTCGGGCTTTGATTTCCTATGCGATTTCTGCAGTCCCTACAAGTAGTCTTATGAGCGGTTTCATAACATCATGATTTCAGGATATCATGGCAAAATTCTTTATCCATTTAGGATTGGCCCTGCTACTACTCATGTTTGGAGAAAATGCCTTTGGAGATAAGGTATATGTACAGTGTGCTGCCTTTTATTAAATATGACTTCAGCAGCTTTTAGTAATAATTTTTCAAATGCTGAGTAAGTTAAAATCCCAGTTCCATCCTTATTACTTTGAATTTCAACATATTTTATATATTCTGGGTATAAGGCTGTGTTGATTATACATATTGCAATTATCACCTCCAATTCTGTGGCTTGTTTTTTCACTTTCTTAATGGTGTTTTTTTTGATGAACAGAAGTTTTTAATTTTGTCCAATTTATCAGTCTTTTCCTTTTTATTATGTTTTAAAATGGTAATATTTTACTTCCTAATCAACAACTTGGATGAAAACAGTTCCAGAAAGTCATTCATTTAACAAATAATGCTGCTGGAAATCGATGCATAAGAAATTATCCCCAGCCTGAAAGAGCTAACATGAAAGCCCTAATAGGGAAGATAAGCCCGCAACAGACAGCTTAAGTGTCTATTTAGTCAATTCATTGATTTAACAAGTATTTATTGAGCATTTACTATGTGCCTGGTACTGTCTCAGGCAACCTTTTGAGTGGTACAGAGTCCTATAGATATCAGTAGTGTTAAGAATCCACTTTTTAATAACTGCATTGTTCTGTGATTGTTGCATGCTTTCTCTTTTGGTTGGGAGTCATCCTAACCTTGGTGATTAAAATTGTTATTTGCATGGGCCTGAGGACTTTATAAAGGACTGCTGCTAAAGAAAAGGCAGCATAGAACAACACATCGAATTTCTTTTGGAAATGAATGCTAACTGCATGAACTGGGGCCCTTTTAAATAATTTTATTGTATGTTTGGTATAACTGTACATGATTAAACAAAGATTTACAATATGGGAGACATGAAGCTCTTCTGAAATATTCCCTGAGGAAATGAGACACTATTGGAGTAATATCAGTCAACAAACACCATATTTAAGGCAAAGGAAGACATGTAGTTCTAGAGCATACATAGTGGAGTTTAAATAATTTAAACTAAAATATTAAGGGAAAAGTTTTAATTTTCTTCTAATATTAGATCGGGATCCCCAAACCTTAATTTTCTTTCTGGCTTTATCACTGATTAGATATGTGGCATAGAAACAAATAGCTTTTGTGTATGTGGTTTACAATCTAGTAAGACATGGGCAGGCATGGTGGCTCACACCGGTGATTCCAGCACTTTGGGAGATTGAGGTGGGGAGGATTGCTTGAGCCCAGGGGTTCGATACCAGCTTGGGCAACATAGTGAGGCCTGTCTCTACCAAAAAATAAAATATTAGCAAGGCATGATGGCACACTTGTGGTCCCAGCTATTCAGGAGGCTGAGGTGGGAGGATCACTTGAGCCTGGGAGGTTGAGGATGCAGTGAGCTGTGACTGTACCACTGCAATGGAGCCTGGGAAATAGAATGAGACTGTTTAAAAAAATAAATGGTGAGACACATCTAAGAATGTGAGGAAAGGTTAATTAAAATTCTAACTATACATTATTACAAAATGCTGTGATTTTAAAACCTTGCATAAGGCAAATCCATTTCAAGATTAATTGAAGAGAATGCCTATTACAAGGACCAAACTAAGGATTAGTGATGTTAGCTTAATTTGTTACTATAAAGCAACCGGCAGTAGAGGTCACTTGTTGGGTTTGAAGGAGTCGTTGTATGTTATTTAAATGAGGTGCATTTTATTTCTGTGTGTCTCTTAGGAAAGGAAAATTATCAATTGCTTACTTTCCCTTGTCTTGAAAAACTATGGAAAAGTAGCAATTTAACTGCTCGAGTTCCTTCTTTGCTGTAAAAATTACCTATTGTTTCTTTTTTTTCTTTTGGGTTTTAAAACTTTGGAAATTTTTGCGTGTTTTGGTTTTTTCTTCTTAAAATCAGATAGAAATCTTTGAGTCTTCAGCTTTTGATGACATGTTATAAATATGTCTGTGTTGTCTAATTCCATTTTCCCGTTCTTCTGTTATAGGGGGCTAGAGAGCTGAAGGAGAACCAGTTTCTCCAAAATTGGTAAGTGCTTTCACTAGGCAGACATAGTATGCCTGATGCTAGCTGGATAATAATTCAAATACTGTGATTTTTTTTTCCCAAAAAAGCTGTCTCTCAGAAATGGGGCTTTGCTGTTTGCACTGAGTGGAAATGAATTGTCTGATGTCACATAGCTATATTTCAAACCCATTTGTGTTTCTGCTAATACAGCTAGGCCTGCATGTTCCTCCATTCCGATAACATGTTAAAATGTAAAAGTCCCCTTTTCCAAAAATGTCCTTAATGCAGTGGTTCGAGTTGAGAATTCAAAAGTCAAGAAATTCAAAAGTTCAGATTCCCAGCCAGGCCCAGTTGGTGTGTGCCTATAGTTCCAGTTACTCAGGAAGCTGAGGCAGCAGGATGGCTTGAGCCAGTTCAAGTCCAGCCTGGGCAACAAAGCAAGACCCCCATCTCTTAAGAAAAGAAGATTAAGATTCCTGTAGTGTTTTGTATTACTTAATATGCTGTTATATTTGATGACTTTAGTGTATGTACAAAATGGCTTAGGTTAATGTAACTGTGGAAACTTGACTTTGAAATTTCGGACTCGTGTTTATTTATATTCTTAAACTTAATATTGGATTAGCCTCATGTCTGATAGTACATTTTTTAGTGTGTGTTGTTTTATATAATTCTTAAAAAGGAAAAAGAGAGAAAGAGAGAGAAAAATGTAATCATGTGGGACATATAGGCAAATGTTTTTCCTGATATCTACTTTGATAGATTTTTTTTAATATGGCTTATAAATCATCACTCTTAATCATTTCTTTGAATGCACAGGGCAATATAATGACTAGCCATCAAACAAATATTAACTTTATTAGAAGAGTGTGTATTATGAAAAAAAAATTAAACTCAAATAAGATAGCTGGAATAGGATAGTTGCCAATGCAAGACTATTCCTTTTTAAATAAATTTTAAAATCCTCTCTCTCAAATAGTAATTAACTTAGTGGATGGAGTAGATATAGTAGATATTTGGCCAAAGTTTCCTTTTGATAGCTTATGGTGCTTGTGGTGTCTCTCTTCCTTTTAGGGACTGGGGTTTGAACGTGATTCATGGAGGCACTTGAACTAAATTAACCCTTGCATTTTACTACCTTTTGATTCTACTTGCCTTTCTCTCATGAAACCTTTTAAAATAGATAATCAAGATCCTATAGCTCTTACTTTGACATGGGACAGAATCTTAGAGAAGGGACTTTAACCCATTTATACCAGAAGTTGCAAATTTTTTGTGTGTGAAAAATCAAACCTTGGCGATGATCTTGAACAGAAGGATATAAATAATTCCCACAGGCTTAGTGTTCCAATAGTGGAACACTAGGTATGGGTTAAGGACCTTCTCCTCCAATATTTTACCCTGTGTGGCAGTTTCTTCTAGATCCCTGACAGGTTGTTATTCAGGTACATATTGAATACTACATGTTTTAAAAATGTAGCTCATTTTCTATAATGTATTCTGAGGAATTCTACTTCCACAGAAACTGAATAAGTATTATTGAAGGGGGCGGGGGTGGGAAAAGGGTTCTGTGGTCAAATAATTTGGGAAATGCTGCATTAAACAAAGTTAAACAGGTTTCTTTACTGCAGGACTTCTCAGAACCTTTAATATGCTAATGTGCATTGTGAATCTCCAAGAGGGGGATATGATATACAGCATTCTTGAATACTTCTAATGACAGGGAGCCCACTACCTCATAAGGTAACCCATTCCTTTTTTGTACAACTCTAATCCTTAGTTCTTCCTTTTCCTTATATTGATCTGAAATATATCTCCTATAACTTCCACTTCTATTAAGTATTTATCGGTTATGCTGAAACTACTACACCCACTTGTGTTATCCTTTGTGTGGTATATATTTGTAAGATTCTGGACAGGCATGTCTGGACAGTTTTTTCAAAAAAATAATCATTAAATATTAATAGGATTCTGGTAAATGTGATAACCAGTTCTAAAATCTTGGCCTCATTGTCACTATGCTCTTAAACCCTACTTCCCAACCTCCATTTTCAATTTCTGTGTATTTAAATATTTACTCAGTTTTCTTTTTGTTGGATGTGTTTGGGATAATTTAGTAGACATGCTTGATTTTTGTAAAGAAAAGAAATAGAAGACTGTATGTAGACAGCCTGGACTCCAGAAAGCAGAGGTATAAACTGTACATTGGGCTGAGCGCTGATGATGGTGGGGAAGGGTCCAGGACTCTACGCAGACCTGTGAAGGAAGGTGCTATGGGTAACCCTGGCCTGGCCCAAGGCACCATAAAAGCCTGCACATTGTAGCAGAGGTATGAACTGCATAGAGATTCCTTTTTAAAAAAATGAGGACTTGTCCCCTACCCCTTCCAAATAAATAGAGATGAGAAAGCTATTTTATACTCACATACATTCGGACATTTAGGTATCATAAATGTAATGATATGTACGCATATATGTTTTTTATTTAATTTAGTAATTAGGAAACAACATTATTAAATGTAATTTAATAATATGGAAACATCCAACTAGCTAAGGAGGTATTTATCAAGAGCTGTCCTACCAGGATTTGAATATAGTAACCTTACCAGATTCAGAGGGTTAGCCTCTAAAATCAGGATTGTGAAGCTCTTTGTGCAGTAGTACTTTCTGTTCACCTGTGGAGTGTCATAAAAGAACTACTGTGATGAAAGTAAATCAAGACATGTTGAAAATGTGCTAAATGATAAGAAAATAAACATTACATTATGTTTTTAATGTCATTTATATTGATTCATGTTAATAAATGTTAAAGTATTTAATAAATATTAAAAGAATTTTATTATTTTTGGCATTCATGGTAATTTTAACACTAAGGTTAATGAAGATATTTTATCTCTCTATATGTTAGATACATAGTAAGAAGTATTTTGTACAAATTGAAACCTGATATTTGAGTATTAAGCATGGGACAGGAAATAAAAATACATAGATCTGTCAAGACTTACTACTTTTTCCTATTTAAAAAAATGAATTTAACCTACTTTAAACATTGTGTCTGAGAATATGGATCAGAAGCAGAGGAGTTTCGCACCAAATAAATGCATGGTACAGAGAACATGGAGTTGTCCTTTTTAGAGACAGTTTGGGGCACACTGTGTCATGGACTTATTGTTAAAGAAATGTTGGTTGATGAGTCAAGTTTTGATTGGAAAAAGGTTTCTGTCAATTTAGTAACAGCAAAATATTTCTTAGTAAAATCAGAGTTACAGCTTTCCTACGAGTTATTAGAATCATAATAAAAGACCTACAATACCTTCAAGCAGACGTATACCAAGAGAAATAGAAGAATCTCCATAGAGAGTTTGAGAACAGAAAAGCTTATAGTCTTCTAGATGTATACTGTGTAGAGAAGTTTTATTAAAAAGTCTATATAGAGAAAAGAATTAAATGTATTAAAACTATTATAAAACTTTACAGTTTGCAAAGGGCTTTTCATATAATTTTGCGTTATTTAGACTGCAACAGTCTTATGAAGTAGGTGATATTGTTTCCATTTTCCTGATTTACAAGCAAACAAACCCTGAGGATGAGAGTAGTCACACTGTGAGTAAGTAGAATTAGTGTTTTTTGTTTTTTGGGATGATGAATGTGCTTTCCAGATATCATGGCTGACCTTTTTAGTGGGATTTGATAATTGTTTCTGTTTGTTTGATTTGCGTGTTTGGTTTTATGTTTTTTGTTATTATTGTTCTTGGAAGGTAAGAGGCCATTAGGTATCGGAATGGTTTGATGTGTACAGTTTGGAAGATTGCAAATGCTAGTATTTTGGGCTAGGGAAGTGCCCTCGTTGATGGTGACTTGTAGAGCTTGTTATTGGATGGTGAGAGGTATGCTGGAATACAGTGTGTTACCATCTTGTGAGTCTGATGATACTCACCTTGCAGTAACTGATTGGTTCTTTATAACTTATTAGAATTTGTCAAAATATGTTAAATTATCTTTTAAAAGTGTAGCAAATAATTTTTTTGATGCTATGAACTGCCTCCCAGTGGTGTTCAGATGATGACTGCATGATGTATCCAAGATCTCAAAGTATTTTTTCAGCTGGGTGCAGTGGCTAATATCCCACACTTTGGGAGGCTGAAGGTGGATGGATCACTTTAGCTCAGGAGCTCAAGACCAGCCCAAACAACATGGCAAAACCCTGTCACTACAAAAAAATACAAAAATTAGCCATTGCTACAGGTGGTGCACACCTGTAGTCACAGCAACTCAAGAGGCTGAGGCAGGAGGATTGCTTGAGCCCAGAAGTCGAGGCTGCAGTAAGCCATGATTGCACCACTGCATTCCAGCCTGGGTGACACAACGAGACCCTGTCTTAGGAAGAAAGAAATTTTTTTCTTTCTTTTTTGAGACAGTTTCTTGCTCTGTCGCCTAGGCTGTAATGCAGTGGTGTGGTCTTGGCTCACCACATCCTCCACCTCCAGGTTCAGGCAATTCTCCTGCCTCAGCTTCTCGAGTAGCTAGGACTACAGGCGTGTGCCACCACACCCAGCTAATTTTTGTATTTTTAGAAGAAATGGAGTTTCACCATGTTGGCCAGGATGGTCTCGATCTCTTGACCCTGTGATCCGCTCACCTCAGCCTCCCAAAGAGCTGGGATTGCAGGTGTGAGCCACCATGCCCAGCCAAAAAAATTTTGTTCGATAGATTCAGCATGTATTCATGACCAGCCTGGGCAACATAGTGAGACCTCCTTCTCTACAAGAAAAAATAAAATTAAAAAGCAAGATTCAACATGTACCTGCCTTGTTTTTGTAAACTATAAATATATATATATAATTTGTTTCTTTACGCACAGACCAGTCCCTTAAAATTACTATCCAGAAGGAGACCTTTCTAAAGAAAAGAAAAATAATTTCAAGTGAATCTTCTAATCCTTCATATGTTTTTCTACAATTAGTCCTACCTTTTTTTTAACCCTTCAGTTTTATTTTTAAATAAATGAGTAGTTGGCATTTAGAGTCCTTGCCAAGTAAAACTTTATGCCTTTGTGTATCTCTAAGAAGCAGTCAACAATCTGATGGAGAAAGTAAAAGCCATCAGCTCCTCATTAGCTTGAGTTGCAGGCTTACTGTGTGAGGCACTCTTTGACATTTACAGTCTTTGGGTTAAACTCTGGTTTTAACTTTTTGTTTTCCTGAGCATTTTGTTTGATAGTGTAACATTTTCTGATGCTTTATCTACTAATCCTTGGTTAGTGTTTTCTTGTTTAAAAAGAAGTGCATTTTTTAATAGAAAATTTCGAAAATATCAGTACCTCAAAAAGAAGAAAGTAAATAACTGTCAGTGCTACCACCTAGTGATAACCATCAGCAAATTATGAAGTGGCACCTGACAGAAATTTTACACAGCTCAGAGTGTTATTATCTTTACAGGTCTTCAGTTTGATAGACAGAGCATATCATCTTAATTACATTTCTATGGCTTAATTGCAGATGGAAGTTTTTTATGTTTGTTGGTCATTCTTATTTCTTCTGTAAATTGTTTTTTCATAGATTTTTGTTACCAATTTTTAAGAGTCCTAAATATATAAACTATATTAGCCCTTTGTTATGTATAATGTAAATTCTTTGTGTTTTAACCTGCCATTCATTTCCAGAGTTTATGTGAGTTGAGTTGAACTATGGTTTTATATGTTACTGTCAGTAGAATAAAGTATGAATATTTGAAAAATACCCCTTCAACTTCAGAGTGATTCTTGACTTGACAAAAATTATAAGGAATAATTTTGGACACATTTTCTGGTAGAGCCTTGTAAAAATTAAAACCAAGTGTTGTTTTCAAGAAGAACTGTAATACATAAGTCACGAATTTGAGTAGGGAGATTATTTTAGTATTTAAAATTAAACTGGCTCTGTAGTTTTAACTTTAGTGTTGCAGGTAGAGTAAGCTTACATGATAATAAAAATTGTAGTCTTAGTAACTTTATGATTCTGATATTTATTTATTGATTGGTTATTGTTCCAAATATTTTAAAAGATAGCAAGTAGCTAAAACTACCCAGATTTGTTTACCACAATATGTCTCCCTTGCTAAATTATTAATATCTCCCCTAAATATACTGCCTTTTAAAATGTTTTGGTTGACATTATCATTATACAGTAAACCTTTCCTACCCTTTACAAAAGTGAATTTAAAGGAATTTTGCACTTTTGAAATTTATTTTTTTTACATTTGAGTATTTTAATGATATATAATATAGTATATAAGCCTTAAGAAAGATTGCTGCTGCTGTTTTATGCCTAATGAGAATAAGCAAATATAATGACAACTCACATTCACAAAAATACATTACCTAGTTAATGATTCCATTATAACTCTGTTAAACCAGTTTTCAAAGGACTTTTAGAAAACTTAGGTTGAATATAGACTTTACCCATAGTTAAATAATATTTAGAAATATGAAGATCATGAATCTTACTGTACTGGTTTAAGGCGTAGTGGTTCCTCTGACTTTCTGATTGTTCCCTTCCCCAATTTATATGAATGCTGAGAAGCTGCTCTAGCTACAAGTTTTATAGGTGCAAAGAAGAAAAGAAATTTGAAGTAAAATTTAAATGTATTCAGACAAAAACAGACTTTTGTTTTGGCAGAGTACCTAAAATCATGTCTAAGGCCACATTCATGAAAAGAAAAAAGTAATAAAGGATAAATTAGCCACTGAATTAATTTAAATTAGAGTAGTGATAATTGGAGGAGGATAGGAAGGTCAAGCTGGGTGTCACATTCACAGATTTAGACTTTTGACATTATTTCCATATGCCATTATATGTATAGTCGAAGAGATGACTGGCAAGCTTGAAAGAAGATGATTTTCATTGTAAAGCTGGAAATGTGTTCCATTACTAGACCACCTCATATGTTACACACAATAGATACATTTTAAAATATCCACATCATAACTTTGTGGATAGCACAGTTATATTGCATTGTATTTATTTGTATTCAGTATTCATTTGTTAAATGTAAATGCTTAAGTTATACCAGAATTTTCCCATTTTGAGTTTCTCTATTTTTTATGTAGAGTAAGAACTCATGCAAATGAAAGTACCCTGGCATTTGTTAACTTCCAAGAAACCCTGAACTCTCCAGTTCACTCTGTGTGAAGTTTAAAAATGTACGATTCTGTTGTTATATGTCTCTTTCTGAAGACAGCATGTCCTGGACGGTTATAGTCTCATTGAGGTCAGAAGTGGTCTTGTTCACCTCTATATCCTCAGTATGTAGTAATTAACACAGTGCTGAGCGTGTAGTGGGGTGCTTAGATGTTTCCATGACCAGATTAAACCCTTTTTATGGTTTTTCATTTCTTAGTTATTTGAAATGTTCTTTAGAGGAATACTTGAAGAATTACTTTTGGGAAAAAATATCTTTGAGAAATTTCTTGCCCTGTGTTAGAGAAACAAATATTTTTTGACAAAATTTATTTGGCAAATATTTTGTTTATGCCAAATGTAATGATCCAAAACATTTTATGATCTTTACAGCTGCAGTGAGAAGAGGAGTTTGTTACTTTAAACAGAGGCTGAAGAAACTATAGCATCAGCAGAGAAAGTGGAGAAGGTAGAGGATGGAGTTGCAGACTCTACAGGAAGCTCTTAAAGTGGAAATTCAGGTTCACCAGGTACGTTGTAGTATTGGCTTCTCCCACACTGTTGTTAAGTAATGGTCAAGATTAGTAAACAAGCCCATCTCTGGTGTTTAGTACAGTTTTTAATCATCTTTAAGACAGTTACCCAAGAATCATGTCATTTGCCTTTTATCACTACTCAGCAAAGTTAAAGATACTACTTTTAAGAAATCAAAGAAAATATTCCTAACTTCCTTTCTAAAGAAAAGAACTGAAAGGATTATTTTTTTTATATACCAAAGGTGTTAACAAAAAAGAAAGAAATCTTTTTTCTGCTTTTTGGTTCATCTGAAGGGCTTTATTCATGTGATTTAACTTGCATGTTTTAAATAACAACATGTCTAACTCAACTACCATATGTACTAAAATTTTTACAGATCATATGACTCAGCTTTATGTGTTGATTCCAATCTTTCGTAAAGAAAATGTGATTGTCTTCACAGATGTTTAAGTTTCAGATTTCACAATTCTTTTTTTTGAGACAGTTTCGCTCTTGTTACCCAGGCTGGAGTGCAATGGCGCGGTCTCAGCTCACCGCAACCTCCGCCTCCTGGGTTCAGGCAATTCTCCTGCCTCAGCCTCCTAAGTAGCTGGGATTACAGGCATATGCCACCATACCCTGCTAATTTTTTGTATTTTTAGTAGAGACGGGGTTTTACCATGTTGACCAGGATAGTCTCGATCTCTTGACCTCGTGATCCACTCGCCTTGGCCTCCCAAAGTGCTGGGATTACAGGCTTGAGCCACCGCGTCCGGCCAAGATTTCGCAGTTTTTATATTTTACCTGAGATACCCAGACTAAACAAACATTTAAAGTAATTATAAAAATGTATGTATAAATACATTTTAAATACATTTGTAAAACAGTATATTTTATGTATATAGTAATACCATAATATTAAAATATTAAATGTAATTTATGTGAATATATGAAAGTAAATGTATATATAACTATAATCAAAACAAAAAGCTATCTTTAAATAATTACATAATTAAAATTTGTTATATAAACAGAGTACCACTGTTTTATATCTTTCTAGACTTTAGCTGGACATCAGGCTGAAGACATACATATGTATGCATGTATATAGGTTTTGGTACTCAAAAGTGATTCACGATGATACATGGACTGCTTCTGAATTTGTAACAATTGGGGATATGGGAGTGGAGAGAAGGAGAAGTAAAACTACTTTTTTCTTAGGGTATAGTTTGCTTTGTTTTATCTGAGTAGTCTAAGATAACATTAGCTTTTGAAATCACTGGGAGAATATCTTGGGCCTTTGATAACTACTAGATTTGCATGTTGCCCAGAATTAGTGTGGGTGAGAACTTAAAGGAAGCTTCAGAAGCACCTGTTCAGAAATCCCTGCTGCCGCTCCGGATCTCGTTAAACTCTTGTTCCGCTGCAGAGTTGGCCCTGTGCACGTGGGCTTCTTTAAGTAGGTAATAAGCAGCATACTTTTTTTTTTTAACCTTGCTTCTGGTACTGAGGAGAGTAGAAATTTGTTACAAAAACAAGCTCATCTTTTTCTGAGTGGAAGTAGTTTAACATAGAGGTATGTTGAATACCCAGTTGGGCTGAATGGCAAGTGATAAAAATTAAATTCACATTTTGTTCAAAGCTGACATCATCATAGAATGAATTTTGGGAGTACAGGAATCAATCTGAAATTTGTGTGGATAAAGGATAATTTTATGATGTTGCGTGTGATTTTTGGAGTTTTTCCTCTTCTGAAGAAGTATTGAGATGGTAAAGTTAACATTCTGCTTTAATTCCTCCTCACAAGATATGAGCAAGTCCCAAATAATCCTTTCTTGAAAGGTTCATGACCTAAATTAATTGAAGTTAATTACTAAATATTTTGTTTCATATTCCAAATTCAAGCATTACAATTTTATAAACATCACAATTATGAAAAAACTATTATTCTGTTTTAAATCTAATTAAAATTTTAAATTTACATTTGTTGACTCAAAAGAGATACAGTATTCCTCCTAAAGTTATGCTAAACACTCTCTTAATGTTCATATTAACTGTCGGTTTTGAGCGTACAATTAGTAGCTTTTGTATGTTTTTGTGATAGTAAACATTTATATGTCAATAATACTTTAACAGAGAACACATACGATAATTTCGCTCTAGTTATATCTTTAATACTTTATTGTTTTTGAAAAAATAATTTCTATGGTGTCACCTACCCAATTGTTGATTATGAGAAATTGAGGCATGCCAGAAATGACATCGAGGTAGGGGGATTGGTTACTAGTCTGAGACCAAAGCCAGAACATACCTTTGACTAAATATTGGGGCCAGAACCACCCTTCGTTGCATTTCCAGCTAGGGTATGAGATTAGGGATGAAACTGAGCTTACTGGATAGAAAATGTTTTCTGCAACTACTTGGTATTGCTGTAGTGAAAACATATTTTTGTTCTTTTTGTTGCATTTATTAATGGGAAGATAGTTATGAAAGTAGCAATGTACACATTGTTGATGCTCAATAAATATTTAAATAATAATGTCCTGTGATGGATGTTTCATTTTTTTGGGAAAATCGCCTTTTTTCCTCTTCCTTTCTTCAATCTTATTTAGATTTGATGGAAGTCACATTTAAATTTTCAGGATATTATAGGATAAAGCAGAGGTTAGCAAATTTTTTTTGTGAAGGAATACATAGTAAAATATTTCCGGCTTTACAGGTAATTTATGGTCTCTGTCACAACTACTCTGCTCTGCTGTTGCACAGACAAAACAGCTATGGACAATATTATGAGTATGACTTTTTTCCATAAAACTTTATTTGCAAAAACAGGTGGCGGGCCAGATTTGGCCTACGGGTTGTTTTGCTTACCTTTGGCATAAAATATATTCTCAAGAAATATTGCTGCATTCTTGCAATAGAAAGTAACTTAACTTTGTTAACATGATGTCAGCTTAAAGTTACTAGGGATTTGGATGATCCAGTAAGTTGTACAGCTTGTCCTGTTCTACCCCTGATTGTTTAAAATGCAGTTTAACTGCTTATAGACAGAAAAGTTGGCTTGTTTATTTCCTCTAGAGGTGAAGACTTCATGAGGTTATCAGTGCAGTTTTAAATTCCAGTGTCTGGAAGAAAACATTTTTCAGCTTCTAAAAGGTAACAGCGTAGTAGCCAGTCCTCTGGTAATCAAATCAAAAAGGAAAATCAAGAGCTTTTTTCACTGAAGAGTGTGGCTAGCGTTAATGTAAAAATGTATATGTATAAAACTTTGTGTTTCGGCCAGGCACAGTGGCTCAAGCCTGTAATCCCAGCACTTGGGAGGCCGAGGCGGGTGGATCACAAGGTCAGCAGATCGAGACCATCCTGGCCAACGTGGTGAAACCCCGTCTCTACTAAAAATATAAAAAATTAGCTGGGCATGGTGGCGCGTGCCTGTAATCCTAGCTACTCAGGAGGCTGAGGCAGGATAATTGCCTGAACCCAGGAGGTGGAGGTTGCGGTGAGCCGAGATCGCACCATTGCACTCCAGCCTGGGTAACAAGAGCGAAACTCCGTCTCAAAAAAACAAAAAAAAAACACCTTGTGTTTCAATTCCCACAAACTCTTGGAATATGTATTGTTACTATTTTGTAGTTTAAGTCTAGGATATAGAAGAGCTACTGCCATTAAATATGAAGTAGAATATAGTGACACATACCTTATGTATTTGGAGGTCACATGGTTGGCAACCTCAGTTATCTAAAATGTGTCTTAGCACCAGCGATAAAGACTTTTGACCAATTAGAATAAATGTCTGAAGTGATAACCAAAGATTGTATATTCTACTAAAGGAGGATTTCTTAGATTATTACATCCTATTCACTTGTCTTAAAATGACTCCAGTGAGTATACCACACAGCAGGTCTGAAGCCTCAAATTTGAGCTGGGTTTCAGGGTTGTTAGAATAGTAACAAGAGCTGGGCATGGTGGCTCACACTTCTGATCTCAGCTACTCAGGAGGCTAAGGTGGGAGGATTGCTTGAGGTCAGGATTTCAAGATCAGCCTGGATAACATAGCGAGACTTCATCTCTTAAAAATATTAAAAAAATAAAAATCAGTCAGGCCTGGCAGTTCAAGCCTGTAATCCAAGCTACTTGTGAGGCTGAGGCAGGAAGATGGCTTGAAGTCAGGATTTCGAGACCAGCCTGGATGCATAGTGAGACCTCATCTCTTAAAAATATTAAAAAAAAAAAATAAGTTAGGCAGGCCTGGTTTAACCCTGTAATCCAAGCTGCTTGTGAGGCTGAGGCAGGAGGATCACTTGAGGTCAGGATTTTGAGATCAGCCTGGCTAATACAGGGAGATGTCATCTTTACCAAAAAAGGGGGGAAAATAAAGGCCAGATATAGTGGTGTATACCTGTATTCCCAACTACTTAGGAGGCTAAGGTGGGAGGATTTGCTGGAGCCCAGAAGTTGCAGGCTGCAGTGAGCTATGATTGTTCCACTGCACTGCAGCTTGGGTGACAGAACAAGATCCCATCTTTAAAGAAACAAAAAAAGAATAGTAGCAAGATGTGTTGGGTGACTACTTGATGTTAAGGACTGGACTGAAAAACTACAACATGGATTTAAGAACTGTAAAACATAGTACTTTGAGACCTTTTTTGTAAGGATCCTATTGTTTGTAGTTTAATATAATTATTCTTCTAAGTAGCCATAAAAGCTTGATTTTTAAATTTTATTTTTTTCTTCTTTTCAAGAAGTTAGGCTGGGTGTGGTGGCTGACAACTTAATCTCAGCACTCTGGGAGGCTAAGGTGGGAGGATTCCTTGAGCCTAGGAGTTTAAGACCAACCTGGGCAACGTAACAAGACCCTGTCTCTACAAAAAAATTCAAAAATTAGCCAGGCATGCGAGTTTGCACCTGGGGCCCTAGCTACTCAGGAGGCTAAATTGGAAGGATCACTTAAGCCCAGGAGGTCAAGGCTGCAGTAAGCCATGATCACACCACTGTACTCCAGCCTAGGTGACAGCAAGACCCTATCTAAAAAAAAACCAAAAAGTATAGTTAGATAAATATATAGTATATTTTAGAAAGGTTTTACTTCACAACTAAACACTTTAAAAGTGCCTTGTCACCGAAAGAGAGTGACGTATTTTTCCATTACATGAAAAATTGACTTGAGTAATAGCTTATTCCCAGATACTTTAGGACTTCTGATGCTCCTTTATCCTTCAAATTTTTCTGTCTATGGTTATTGTTACTTTTGGGCAGTGATGTTTTTAAAAGTTGGCTTAGGTCAAAAGACATTCATTTTTCTCTCTTTATTATTTGTTTGGGTTTCTGTTTTCCCTAGTAAATATCTTTTCCATTCAGTATTGGGGTATCACTCTCTTTCCCAGAGGAACCGAGTTAGGTAGAGTTTCACATTGTTCCTGCACTTCCTTGTTCCCAAATACCAAGCATCACTGCCCCATTTGAACTTATCCTTTCCTGCACCCACCTCTGTCTTGAGAGAAGACAGTGGCAAAGTCACATGTGACACTAAGCTCCTTCTGTGGTAAGAACCAGACCAATAGAACTGCCGAATCTGTACTTTGCTCTGTGTATAAACAGGCCGGTTTTGTGTAGGGCCAGCTTCTTTCCAGGCCTTGTTGGGACTCTAGGCATTGATGACATTTGAAAGGGATATTTGGCTTTTGGAACATCCAGCTTGTTTTAATTCCTTTCAAAAGCCACTGTCTCCCATCTCTGTGTCCAGATTTAAAAATCAGGATCTTTTTCATTTCAATTATAAAGTGGTAGTTTGATTTTCTTTTTTTTTTTTAAATTAAAGGAAGTACCTCCTGAGCCTTTTACATGGATCACAGGTTTTAGTCTGTTCTGATTGTGGTGTTGCTCATTTTTTTGTGTTAACTTAAAATCCTAGATTTTGGGGGTCCAAACCTGATTAGCCATAGGGTGTTAATATGTAAGACTGATGGCTCTTTTTCTCTCTTTATTACCAGAAACTGGTTGCTCAAATGAAGCAGGATCCACAGGTAAACTACTATTGTTATTCATTTAATTTTAAAATTAAAAAATAATTTAAAGTCAAGTCACCATAAAATACTGAAATGTGGATGATGCTTAACTTTTAAGAATTCTTTCATTTCTAATAGCAGTTATTTTTAATACATTGATCTTCAGGTTTTAGGGTTTAGAAAAATTCAGTCATTCTAATTTAATATAGCTGTTATTTCATCTTTGTTACTATTGTTTTGGTTTTATATGAATTGGTTTGAGTATGTTGGAGGAAAATATTAATACTCTTCATATAGCCTAAATTCATTTTCATAAACCCACTTATTCAAAATTAGTTTTTGAGGCTTTCTGCCATCTCAATATTATGAAAAGTGACCCCAAACCATTTCTATTTACTTGGAGTTTATATTACAGAACATTTGAATAGTTCTGAATTATCTACTTTCAGGGTAAGAATTTAAGAGTAATTTTTAAAAGAAGCATTTTAGAAAATTTTATTTTTGAAAGAAACTTTAAAGGAGGTTTAAAAAGTACCTTATGTTACTTTTTAACAGAAAAGTTAACAGAGAATGTTAACTTTTCTTTAAATTCTCATAGGCATTTTTCACTAAGCCATTTTATTCTCTCTTCCTGAAGAGATATTTTTCTAAAACATTATCTTGTCTTCTCATGATTTTACTTATTATTGGGTAGTATCTCTTTTTTAACCATTAGATACTGGGTCATAAGTATGGAGAGTATTTATCAAATATATCTCTGTATATATCTGGATTGATAAACATTCCACATAGGCTTCATTGTAAAGTAAAATTAAGTTTTTGGTTGAAGAATGGTACTGAGGCACATTGATTTTTGGAAGTGAAAAATAACACCTATCTCCACAAATTGAGAACTCAGGTCTGACTATTATGTTTTGACTCTGAGAGCTGGAATACTTATTCCTATTAAATGGTCCCACTTCCATGAGAAACTTCTCTTTTTTTTCCTTCAAATTTTTGGCATATTCATAATTTAAATTGACTTTAGTTACAAAAATCATCCGGGCTTGGTGGTAGGCACCTGTAATCCCAGCTACCCAGGAGGCTGAGACAGGAGAATCGCTTGAACCCTGGAGGATCGTGCCACTGCACTCCAGCCTGGGCAACAGAGCGAGACTGCATCTCAAAATAAATAAATAATAACTTGGATTTAGAAAACCAAGGAGTGGTAGACTTTAGATTAACAGCTCCTTTCCTATTTAATGTGGTAACCTACATTATCAGCAACTGTGAAATGTTACTAGAAACTATCATTTCTATTATACTTGTGGTCATGTAACAGAATTGTCTTAACCTGAAGAATCTGAGGTGGGCAGGGCAGTAACTTGTTGGACAGCATTGTGGGTAATCTCATTGGAGAAACCTTATGTCAAATACACTAATAAAAAAGTCGACATGGAGTAAACAAAATTCAATAGATGGGGAGGATGTGTTCCCTAACCGTGGCAGAAGACCAAGCAGGGTAAATTGAAAAAATTGTATGTGAGACAAATCAAGTAAAAGTGGTCTCTCATTAGGGTGGTGTTCAGTCTGCTAGTAGGCTGTCCTGCTACATTAAGCATTTGAAAACTTTAATTTTGGAATTTTTCTGCCTACTTTAGTAAAAGGCAGTGATGTTCAGTGTATCTCATCTAAAATAGTATTCTTTTTTTGATTCCTAGAATTTTAGAACTGAGAAAATGCCCTGGTAGTCACTGTGTTAATTTGAATGATGTAGTGTTAAGGCAGTTGCAGTACTGACAGCTTTTCAGATCTAGGCTAAAATAACAAATGTACTTTGCTAAATAAGGGAGAGGGCAAGTGGGGAAAAACCTCTTATCTTTGTTGATAATGCTATAAAGTATGTAGTGTATGTATATTTATAAACCCCCATTTACCTACTTCTGTGTGATTAGTGGAGCTTTGGGTTTTCTGTCAACAGATACTTTCTATAAAGAATAAGAGTATTAAAAAGAATAAGAGTATTTTAGTGGACAGGTACTCTTACAGCGCGGGATGCTCAAATATAAAACTTGGTGTAATTTAAAACAATTGCAGGGAAGCTGCTCCTGCTTTGGTGCTAGGAGCCTATATTTAGGATCTATGCATTAGGTGATGGTATTATGGCCACAGTGTAATAATACATGACAGATCTGACTGGCTGTATGCTCAGGTTGCTTCATCATTTGTGATACAGTATGCAGAGTCTTCCTGCTACTATTCTGTTAACAAATGAAATATCTTTCTCACAGATATTTTTTCTTTCCAATCAGAATGCTGACTTAAAGAAACAGCTTCATGAACTCCAAGCCAAAATCACAGCTTTGAGTGAGAAACAGGTAGGGGAAAAGGGGAGGGGGGCATATTTTTAACATTGTGTTCTAAAGATATGTCTGCTAGAGGCTTCTAAGAGAACTGCTATTTTTCCTCATGTGTGAAAATAAGTGTGGGCAGCCAGACTCGGTTTTAATTTTGTTTGAGCTCTGTTTATCTATTTTTATTTTTGGTTGAAATCAGTCTCTAGAGTATCCCATGGGTATATGTTACTGGCAAATACCTAAAAGCAATGTGGCAGGCTGCAGTTAACTGTGTTAATTAAACTCTATAGTTTACCCATAGGGGATGGGGTAAAGACAGTTAGTGAGAGTAGGTGATAGAGAATCTTTTAGGTGCTGCATGTACCTTGTTACCTGTCTTAAAACCTTGAGATGACATTTAACTTACTGTGGAGAAAATCTTGTAAGTAGATTGCTCTAAATGTAGGTCTTCCATTCTAAGTATGGTCATGCCTTTAAGTTAATCTCTCTTAGATATTGACCTACTATTATGTGAAAAAACTTTGGTGAAACCTTGTTAGACTTATTCCATATAGGGCAGGAAAAGAAAATCTCGCTTTTTTCCGAGGACACCTGGAAAGTATTCTTTGGAATTTTTTGTATGATGACCTGCACTTTACCAATTCATGCAGTGCCTGCCACCAGGTGGAGTGTGGCAATTGATAGAGCTTTAAGTAAATGTTTATGGTAATCTCATAAAGCATTAATTTTCTTGTTTCTTCCCCACCACTCTCCCTCTGATTAGAAAGAGTGGTTTTCTGTCTTGGAGTAGGTGAATGTATTAATGAAAAGAATAAGGTGATTTGCAGTTGATATTTCATGCCAGTGACATTTTATTGAAGATTTTTGATGAAATAGTTCTCAATAACTGATTTTTATGTTGTTATATAGTGAAATAATAACAATGAGAATAATTTATTCCTGGAGACTTTTTATTGTGTTTCTATTGTGTTTTCATTTATCTGAGGGGAGAAATAAACTTTGAGAACTATGTGGAAGAGATATGAATCATTAATGTTTCAGAATAGAATCATCTTCCAAGCTGAGTGAACAAATGCTTTATATTCTTCCCTCCTATTCTTATGCGTCCCCACCTTGTCTTCTCCATAGACAGGAGGTATTTTAGATTTGGGAATTGCCAAACTAAAATTGGGAGGAGGTGGGATGGTGGAGAACAATTTGTAAGAAAAAAATATAAACAGAGTTGGTTAGTATGTATTTGGCTCTGAATGTGATTCAGTTCTCTAAAGTCAACATGATGACTAGAATTCTGTTAGCGCTGAGCCTCCTTATAGTTTCAGGGTTAGTTTGACAAGATGCCAATGAATGAGTCACATTTGCTGAAAAACTCACGTGTTCCAGCAGGGAAAGAAGGTGAGAACTGATTAGTGGAGTAGGGGTTGGGGGATGCTGTTGCAAAGTTAAGATAACTTAAGACCACGTTTGGGGAATGTGGGACAATTTTTAGAATTTCACATTTACTTGAAATTTTTGTTTGTGAGAACTAACATAGATTTGGTTTATTCCGTAACTTTTTATTCTTTAATCTTTTTCTGCTATGGACCTTACAGAATAAAAAATTGCAGCTATCTATCTAAGACATTTCATCAGGCGGCAAGCTGTAATTGTCCTCTGAACTAAGTTTGAATTTCAGAAACTAGAATTTTTTAAAATGTCTAACATCAGGAAAACTTTAGGTATGCAAAGTAAATAAAACTAGAGTCAGAAACTAGAATTCAGTCCTGCAGTTTTTATATATCCTTACATGTTAAATCAACTTTCTTGATGAAACAGAAAAATATCATTTTTAGGTAGGCTAATAGTTGAAGGAAACACAGCTGTAATGTTCAAAGGTTCATCCCTCCTTAAACTTATTTTCAACATGTGACATTATTACTTAGTTTAAAATAATTTTATTGGCTAGGCATGGTGGCTCACGCCTGTAATCCCAGCACTTTAGGAGACCAAGGCTGGCAGATCACCTGAGATCAAGGGTTTGAGACCAGCCTAGCCTAAGTGGCGAAACCCCATCTCAAAAAAAAAAAATAAAAAATTAGCTGGGCATAATGGCACGTGCCTACTCAGCTACTCAGGAGGCTGAGCCAGAACAATTACTTGAACCCGGGAGGCAGAGGTTGCAGTGAGCCAAGACTGCACCACTGCACTCTAGCCTGGGTGACAGAGCGAGACTTTGTCTCAAAAAAATAAAATAGTTTTATTTTAGAACAGCTTCCTAATGCTATGCCCATTTTTTTTTCTCGAAAGAGCCACTTATCCTCTGGCAGAACCTAACCAATCGTCCTTCCACTTAAATAACTAAAATCTGAATTACCTTATTCATATGACTAATATTTAAATTTAACATTAATTTTTTGTTAGAAAAATTTTAAATACAGAAAAGTTTGGAGAATAATGCCGTATTTCACACTTAAACCTTTGTTATATTTACTTCCACTCTGTGCATTTTTCTGTAATCATTTTTTTCATTATTAGAATATTTTAATTATACAAATAATGGATTCATACATTCTCTTCTTTTGTTTTATTTAAAAAAATTGTATCAGACCTCTACATAAAAAAAAAAAAAAAGAGAAAAACCATTGCAGATAGTCACTATTTCTTACAGTAGACACTAGTTCTTATTTACTGTTGCCACTTCAATCTTTGATACTTACTCAGTTTCTCCCTTAAAACTATGTAATCGGATGCTCCATTTGGGAAAATACAGCCTTTAGTAGCAGTCTTCCTGGCTAAACCTCAGTGAATTTCATCAAATTCTTGATTGGAAAGTTCTAGTGCTTTTCAACTGTAACTTGAGATTTCTGAAGAGAAACTCTGGCAGATTTCAGTCAGCTTCTTGACCTGCAGGGCTTCAATTTGGGGCTGGCAGGTTTTTTTGTGTGTGTTTTTTTTGTTTTTGTTTTTTTGAGACAGAGTTTCGGTCTTGTTACCCAGGCTGGAGTGCAATGGCACGATGTCGGCTCACCGCAACCTCCGCCTCCTGGGTTCAGGCAATTCTCCTGCCTCAGCCTCCTGAGTAGCTGGGATTACAGGCACGTGCCACCGTGCCCAGCTAATTTTTTGTATTTTTAGTAGAGATGGGGTTTCACCATGTTGACCAGGATGGTCACGATCTCTTGACCTCGTGATCCACCCGCCTTGGCCTCCCAAAGTGCTGGGATTACAGGCTTGAGCCACCGTGCCCGGCCAGGGCTGACAGTTTTAACTCAGAAAATCCCTGACTTGATTGGCTCAATAAATTATATCCTATATAGCCATTAAGATCATGGTTCTGGGAAGTATTTTAATGACATAGGAATGTGCTCTGAAAGAATAAGTGAGAGAGTACACACAACTTTATGTGCATTACAGTTCCATTTTTATGTTTATTTTGGGTATATATGTATGTGGGTGTGAAAATGTATGTAGAAACAGTGTCAACATAAAACATGGGAAGGTGGTAAGTTTACAGGTGGTTTATTTTTTCCATATACTCTTATGTATATTTTCTAAATGCTCCACAATAAATGTTTCCCTTTTAGAATCAGAAATAAACAAGAAATAGTATTAAAAAATTTTTTTTAACATCAAGCTCTTGTCTGTTTCAGGCATAGTTCACATTTAGAAATCTAATGACATTCTTCTCATAGTATTAAATATATGAACCACTCTAATCAGAGAATCCAAGTATTTTAAACACTAGTAATGCTGAAGTGCGGAAGCAACTATTAATTTCTTTAACAGGACTCACTCTCATTCTCACTCCACACTCCCTTATTTTTTTGATAAGCATATGTAGTCTTTTATGGAGATATTCTGATGTGGAGCTAAAGCATTTAGTTGCTTTAGTTCTCTGCTTTCTTTCTAATTTCTTATAAAGGCAATCTTAACATCCCAAAGTTTGTTGCTTCTTACTGTGGTGCTTCAGGATTAGCCCATAGTGGTTGCATATTTGGTTTCCCCAGCCTGAACAGTTTGCTGCCCTATCTCCCCTTACCTGGTGGCCTGCTGCTGAGGTTTTATGTCATAGTTTAAATGCCACTTTCTGAGAGGAGCTATCCCTGACACTCCTTCCTCTAGTCAAAATCAGCTCTTTCTGTTATAATCTGTCATTGAACCCTTCAGTTTTCCTACATAGTTTTGCAGTTTAGGATTATGTTCAGTTGTGGATGACTCAAAATCCAAAATGAAAATGATGTAAACAGGGAAAATTTAATTTCTCTCTCATCTAAAAGTTCTGTAGGGGGACTAGTGCTGCTGAGAGTGGTTCCATGGTGTCAGGGAACCCAGGTTCCTCCTATTCTGTTGCTCTGCCATTCTCAGCATGCAGCTTTCACATCATAGTCCAAAATAGCTGCTCCATCTGGTAAGAAGGGGGAGAAGCAACAAAGAGCAAGCCCTTTATTTTTTAAGGATGTTTACTAGAAGTTGCATGCAGCACTTCCAGTTAGATCCCATGGGTCCGAACTTAGTCATATGGCCCCCGCTAGGAGCAAGGAAGTCTGGAAAATGTAGTTAGTTTATTGCTGGTGGTCATGGCCAGATAAAATTCAAGGACTATTACTGAGTAAGAATTGAGAATTTTGAGACTTAAGAATTCTCTAATATTTAAAAAAAAAAGAATTGGGAAATAAATACTAGGAATGATTAGCATTTTCTACTATCTCGTAGCATATCTGTATCTGTAGGATTACTATTTTTAAAATATCTGTCTTCCTCATTAGATTGTTAGTTTCAAGAAGGCAGGGAACATGTTTGTTTTATTTGCTTCTTTATTCATAGTATAGTATTTAACATAGAATGATATTAATACAGAAGAAGCACTTATATTTTTTAAATGAATTATTTTATCCACCTGATCTTTTGCTCTGTTTATATCATATTTTTTTTATAGAATGGTATGCCTTTTTATGCTTTTTAACCTAACTCATGAAAATCTTCTTAGATTTTTGAGTGTTCTTTGATATTATTTTTAATAGCTTTAAATATTAATGTAATTGGCT